TGAGCGGGACCGGGTTTGTATGTGGGATCCGAACCCTCGGGCGGGAGCGCCGCCGCGCTTCCCAAGCGGCGCACTATCCAGTGCGCCACCGGGCCGGCCCTTCTCTCACAAATTTTGACATGCTTTTCTTTCATTATTATTCAGTTCACAGTACTTTCTAATTTCTTTTAGAGTTGTATGTTATTTAGAATTACATTGCTTTGGGTATATACCCAGAAGGGGGATTGCTGGGTCATAGGGTAGTTCTATCTGTACTTGTTTCAGAAATCTCCATACTATTTTCCATAATGGTTATACTATTTTACAGTCCCACCAACAGTGTAGGAGAGTTCCCCTTTCTCCACATCCTTACCAGCATTTGTTGTTCTCAGTCTTTGTAATACTGTCCAATCTAACTGGGGTGAGATGGTATCTCAGTTTGGTATTGATTTGCATTTTCCTGATGACAAATGATGTTGAGTATTTTTTCATGTAGCTGCTGGCCGTTTGTATGTCTTCCTTTGAAAAATGTGTATTTAGCTCCTTTGCCCATTTTTTAAATTGGATTATTTTTTATATTTTACTGTGAAGTTGTTTAAGTTTTTTATGTATTCTGGATATTAATCCCTTGTCAGATGTATAGTTTGCAAATATTTTTTTCCATACCATAGTTTGTCTTTCTGCTCTGTTAATTGTTTCCTTTGCTGTGCAGAAGATTTTTAGTTTGATACAAACATCAAGATTGAAGAAGTAATCAGCAGTCTCCCAACAAAGAAAATCCCAGGACTGGATGGCTTCCCTGCTGAATTCTACCAAACTGTTAAACAGGAATTAATGCCAATTCTCTTCAAATGATTCCAAAAAATTGAAATAGAGGCCACACTCCCAACCTCATTCCGTGAGGCCAATATCACCCCAATACCAAAACCAGACAAACATACAACGACAAAAAAGAAAACTACAGGCCAAAATCCTTGATGAACGTAGATGCAAAAATTCTTAACAAAATATTAGCAGTCAAAATATAGCAACACTTCAAAAAAATTATACACCATGATCAAGTGGGATTCATCCCAGGGATGAGAGGATGGTTCAACATATAGAAGTCAATAAATGTAATACATCCATCACATTAATAAGATCAAGGAAAAAACCATATGATTACCTCAATAGATGCAGAAACAGCATTCAGCAAAATTCAACATCCCTTCATGATAAAGGCTGTCAGCAAATTAGATATAGAAGGAAAGTATCTCAACACACTTAAAACCATATATGACAAACCCACCATCACTATCATCCTGAAAAGGAACAAGGAACAAGAACAGGATCAAGACAAGGATGCCCACTTCACCATTCCTATTTAACAGAGTACTGGAGGTACTAGCCAGAGCAATCAGGCAAGAGAAAGAAATAAAGGGCATCCAGATTGGAAAGGACAAAGTCAAACTGTCCCTGTTTGCAGATGGCATGATCATTATATATATAAACCTAAAGACTCTACAAAAAAAAAAACCTCTTGGATCTGATAAACAATTACAGTAATGTTGCAGTATACAAAATCAAAACCCAAAACTCAGTATCATTTTTATACTCCAATAATGAGCTAGCAGAAAAGGAAACCAGGAAAGCAAGCTCATTTACAATAGTCACCAAAAAAATAAAATATGTACGAATTGGTGTAACCAAGGAGGTGTAAAATCTCCACAACAAGAGCTACAAAACACTACTGAAAGAAAATGAAGAGGATACAAAAATGTGGAAAGACATTCCATGCTCTCAGATTGGAAGAATTAACATTGTGAAAATATCCATACTACCCAAAGTCAGCTACAGATTCAATGCAATCCCCATCAAAATACCAAAGACAATCTTCTCAGAAATAGAAAAAACAATCTTAACATTCATATGGAACAACAAAAGCCCTAGAAGAGCCAAAGCAATCCTGAGCAAAAAGTAAAGCTGTAGGCATAAAACTACATGACTTCAAATTACACTACAAAACTATGATAAACAAAACAGCATGGTACTGGCATAAAAACAGACTTGCAGACCAATGGAACAGAATACAAAATCCAGAAATCAACACATACTTACAGCCAACTGATCTTTGAAAAAGGAAACAAGAACATACATTGTGGAAAAGACTACCTCTTCAATATATGATGCTGGAAAAATTGGAAATATAGGTACAGAAGAATGATACTAGATCTGTACTCTTGCTGTGTACCAAAATTAACTCGAAATGGATTAAAGACTTAAGAATAAGACCTGAAATTATAAAACTACTAAAAGAAAGCATAGGGGAAACACTTCAGGAAGTAGGACTGGGCAAAAACTTGATGAATAAGACCTCAAAAGCACAAGCAGCAAAAGAAAAAATAAAGAAATGGGATTATATCCTGCATTATTTTGGATTGACTGTTTGGGGGAGTTTTATTTGGCTTTTTGGCAATACCTCTTTGTTTTATTTTTCCAGCATGTACTCTAGTATGCATCTCTATTTTATCACAGTCTATGTTGAATTAATATTGTATCATTTCATTCATTATGTAAGAACCTTACAACAGTATTTTTTATTTTCTCATCTGTTTTGAGTCTTATTTTCTTCATACAATCAACTTCTACATATGTTATAAACTGTATAATACATTGTTTTAAATTTTACTTTAGTCAATTATCCTTTAAAAATTTTTAAATTATCCTTTAAAATTTTTTTAAATGTTATGTTTGCCCACATTATTATCATTTCTGACATTCTTTATTCCTTTGTGTATCAGATCCAAGTTTTATCCACTATTGTTTTCTTTCACACTGAAGAAATTCCTTTAACAATGCTTTTAGTGCATCTCTGCTGGCAACACATTCAGCTTTTGGTTGTCTGAAAAAAGTGTTTGTTTAACCCTCATTTTAAAAAGATATTTTTATTAGATAGACACAATTCTGGGTTGACAGTCTGGATTGACAGGTTTTTTTCCCCCACTTTGGAGATGTCATTCATTGTCTCCTTGTTTGCATTGTCTTAGAAGAGAGGTCTATGTTTATAAACTAGGAACTCTGGAAGCAAGTGTTTCACAGTTCTTCTCATACATATTTCTAGCCATTTCACTCAAAGTATGATTCATAAAGGTTTTCACATACTGGTTGATAAAAGATGAATCTCTACATGATTCCTGAAAGATCCCTTATAGGACACCAATTTTTAAAAAATTTTATTTTACTCTCAATATACATTATATCTTCATGCCCCTTTACCCATTCTTCTCCACAACCTCCCCACCCCCGCCGCATCATATCTGTTCACTTGACTTAAAAAGTTCAAGGAATTTTTGTGATTGTTGTGTCTTCTTCCTCCCCACACTCTTTATTTGTTTGTGTGTTTATTTATTTGTTTATTTATTTTTAGCTCCCACAAATAAGTGAGAACATATGGCATTTCTCTTTCTGTGCCTGACTTGTTTCACTTAATATAATTTTCTCTAAGTCCATCCATGTTGTTGCAAATGGTGGCACTTTGTTCTTTTTTATAGCAGAGTAGTATTCCATTGTGTAGATATACCACATTTTCCATATCCACTCATCTGATGATGGACATTTGGGCTGGTTCCAACTCTTGGCTATTGTTAATAGAGCTGCAATAAGCATTGGAGTACAGGTATCCCTTCGGCATGATGATTTCCATTCCTCTGGGTATATTCCCAACAGTGGAATAGCTGGGTCATATGTTCACTGTTGGTGGGGCTGCAAAATGGTGCAGCCTTTATGGAAAATGGTATGGAGATTCCTAGCAAACTAATTTTTAAAATGCTTATTGCATTCCTTTATTTTATGGGACTCCAATTAGACGCTTGATTTATTTTTCCCACAAGGCACTGAAGCACTCTTCTTTTTTTTTTTAGTTCATTGCTTCAGTTCAGGGAGTTTCTTTTTTGCTATATCTTTAAAATATCTTATCTTTCCTCTCACAGTGTTTATAATCAGCTAATTTCATCCAAAAATTTCATTTTTCATATTGTATTATTTTAGCTCTAGAAGTTCTGTGTGTGTGTTTACTATCTCTCATTTCTATTCTCAGATTCATGTTTTTCCTTTAAACATTTGAAGAAAACATATATAATAGCTGTTTTAAAGTCTTTGTCAACTAATAATACCATCTCTGTCATTTATGGGTCTGATTCTATTTAGTGATTTTTCTCTTGGTTAAGAGTGACATTTTTCTACTCCTTGGGATTTTGAGTAATATTAGATGCCAGATATTGTGAATGTTAGGTACTGCATGACAGTTTTTTTGTCTTTCTTTAAAGATTGTTGGTGGTTAACTCTTAGGCAGTTAAGGTAGCTGTGGATGAACTTGATCATTTGAGGGCATCTTTTCTATATTACAGTGGGTCTAGAGTAGCCTTTACCCTAGAGGTGATTTGTCCCTACCACTAAAAAAAAAAAAAAGAAAAGAAATGTGTGTTGATAGGGAAGATATACAAATGGCCAACAGACACATGAAAAAATGCTCAACTTCACTCAACGTTCGGGAAATGCAAATCAAAACCACTTTGAGACATCATTTCACTTCAGTTAGTATGGCTAATATCCAAAAGACTGAGAATAATAAATGCTGACGAGGATGCAGAGAAAAGGGAACCCTCCTACACTGTTGGTAGGACTGTAAAATGGTGTAGTCATTATGGAAAATGGTATGGAGATTCTTCAAACAACTACAGATAGATCTACCATATGACCCAGCTATCCCACTGCTGGGAATATACCCAAAGGAATGGAAATCATCATGTCAAAAGGACATCTGCACTCCCATGTTTTTTACAGCACTGTTTACAGTAGCCAAGAGTTGGAACCAGCCTAACTGCCCATCATCAGATGAATGGATAAGGAAAATGTGGTATATCTACACAATGGAATACTACTCTGCTATAGAAAAGAATGAAGTACTACCAGCAACATGGATAGACTTATAGAAAATTATATTAAGTGAAATAAGCCAGGCACAGAAAGAGAAATACAGCATGTTCTCAGTTATTTGTGGGAGTTAATAAAAGTAAACAAATAAATATACAAACAAAGGGGGGGGGAGACACAAAAATCACAACAATTTTTTGAACTTGTTAAATGAACATATATGATGTTGATGGGTTGGCAGGAGGTGAGAGGGAGGAGGGGAAAGGAGGAATTGGTAAAGGGACACAAAAACCAACTACTTTGTATATTGATAAAGTAAAAAATTAAAAATAAATAAGTAAAATTTTTAAAAAAAGAAACAAAAATTGTTGCTTTAGGGTCTACAGATGCTAAATGTCCTGCAACGCTAAGAACAATCTGCATAATAAAGAATTGTTCCTCTCCAAATTCTAATGATGCTTCACTAATCAATACAGATTAATCAATAGTTTTGTGGTCAATATGGAACTTTTATAAGTTTCGATTCACTTACCAGACTTTGGGTAGGTTGCCAGAATAAGATCATCAGGCCTGGCTTGAAAGTTGCAGATTTTTTCCCACAGTTCTCTTGATGGCGTTGGCAAAAGAGCTCCATCCACTTCCAGAGTGTTCGATACTGTTGAATTCTGTTCCATGGTATGAGAATTCTTCTCAATCTGTGCCATTGGGAATCTGGGATTGATATTGCCAACCCTATTTAAAATAAAATATTAGGTTTTATGACTCATAGTAAAAGTAACCAACTTACAGACTGCTGTTGGTTAGAATAACAATTAACATTAATTAAAGCTAACATATTCAACATGCTAACAAGTTACTCTGTGTATCTATTAATTTAAACCTCACTGCAACCTCATAAAATAAATTATATTATTTTTTCTTTTGAGAGGAGGAAGCTGAGGTCCTTATAGATTAAATAATTTGATAAACAAAAAACAGCAATAATTGTAGGAGATGAGATTGACACCCAAATAGATTGTCTCCTACCTAGTTCATGTCTGAACAACCATATTACCTGTTGGATTAGTAGAAAAAATAATAGTAATGTCTCAAATATTGCTTCATAATTTTCAAACTGTTATTTTGTATAATTAGACATGTGACTATCACAAAACAGCAATAATTGTAGGAGATGAGATTGACACCCAAATAGATTGTCTCCTACCTAGTTCATGTCTGAACAACCATATTACCTGTTGGATTAGTAGAAAAAATAATAGTAATGTCTCAAATATTGCTTCATAATTTTCAAAATGTTATTTTGTATAATTAGACATGTGACTATCACATTGAAGAAAATTAACAGCAATGGTTGGAATCACATCATTGGGCTCAGAGACTCCTGAAGCATTGACTGGCCGTGTTGCAGTTTGGGGAGTATCTTCAAATTCAGAGCTTGCAAGAGCCATGTCCTTGTCTGGGTCAGATCTACTCTCCCCAGGCCCAAACTCTGCTCTGAACAGGGCTCTCTTTCTGTGGGTGCTTCCTCCAAGGCACTCCGAGGCCCAGAGACTAGGTTGAGCAATACCTTTCCCTTGCTGTATTGATTCTCTGTGCCTATCCTGGGCTGCACTGGAGCTGGGACCCCTGCTGGCCTATCCTGAGCCAGGGCAAGTGTATTAGTCCATTTCTGTTGTTTAAAACAAAATACCTGGAAACTGGGTAATTTATTGCTTACAGTTTCAGAGCCTAGGAAGTCCAAAGTCCAGCGAACACCTCTGGTGAGGGTGTTCTTTGGTGGTGGCTTTACAGTAATGCAGGGGTCTCATATGGCAGAAAATGGCTGAGCAGAGAGAAAGAACTTATGTTCTCTCCTTTTAAAGCCCTCAGAACCACACTCATGACCACCACCTTTAATCCATTCACTATGGCATGTTCCTACAATCTAAGCACATCTTCAAGGCCCCAGCTTTCAATTACCATAATAGGATTTCCTACGCTCAACAGTTACAGTGGGGATTAAGCTTCTATTATATGAATTTTAGGGGACACAATTTAATCAATCCACAGCACCAAGGGACAACTCCAGCTGGACTCCCAGGAAAAGGTTAAACAGAACAGAGGCCAAGGTTTGTTTGTTTTAATGAATGAAGTGTATGTGACTTTGGAAATTGCTCTCAAATTATGAAATAGCCCTTCAGCGCAATTATGTTCCAATGTTAATATGCAGCCCTGTTCTGTGGGCATTTTCTCTATCTAATCTTTCCTTCAGGAGTTTTCTGATGCTGCTGCAGAGGGAATGTTGGGATTTATAGTAGCCCTGCTGGTGTGAGAACCTCTGGCAGCCTCTGCAGCGAGCTCTTCTTTACTGCTGTCATGTGTCCCAACTGCCCTGATGTTAAGACCTTGTAATAGATATCTTCAGCAGCAATGGAAATTTCTTCTTCAAATCAGTGTTAAGTGAAATAAGCCAGGCACAGAAAGACAAATACATACAGCATGATCTTATTTGTATATGGAACTTAAAAAGTTAAACTCATAGAAACAAAGAGTAGAATGGTGGTTACCAGGGGCTGGGAGTGGGTGGGGTGGGAGATAAAGAATACAAGATTTCAGTTAGATAGCAGAAATAAATTCATGAGATCCATGGTATAACGTGGTGACTATAGTTAAAAATAATGCTTTGTATCTTGAAAATTGCTGAGTAGTTGTTTTTTTTTAGAATCAACAAATTTTTATTGTTCACCTGATGTCTAGACATTCTGAGGAATATACAATAGATCAGATAGGAATCACACTCGAGAGACGCTCACAGCCCAGAAGAGGAAAGATGTGTGTACACAGCTATCTGTAAGTGACAGATGTTGGAAGTGAGGTATAAAGTGCTCCTGAGGGCAGACAGTGCTGAGAAAGGTGGGAATCGGATGTGCGTCATGGCGGAGCGTAGGGTTTGTTCGCACTTTCTTTATGGCCATCTCAATCAACTACAATGTATATTGAGAAGTTAAAATTAAAAATATAATAAAATAAATAAATCAAATTTTAGTAAGTATCTCCAGCAGTGTATAAAAAAGATGATAATGCATCATAACCAAGTGGTTTTTTGCCAGGACTGCAAGAGCTGATTGGACAAGTCGGGATCATCCTGAAAACCTTTCCTTATTGACTCTGTTTGTTACATGCATTTCTATTTCAATATTAAATTAATAACTTTATTGGACTGCTTGAATAAAAATGATGTGAAATAAAAGATACGATTTATTAGGAAGGATCTGATTACTTGAAAGATAGGTTGAAAGTAGGTCATGTGTGAATTAATTGTGGTTAATTATTACATCATTACAATAATTTGTTTAAAAATCTGTAGATATATTTTCCATGTTCCTTTTTGTCCCCACAAACAACACTGTTAAGGAAAATATATGTCTCTGATAACAGAAATTAATAAATAAATGTTCTCACTACATAATAATGATATGTAAGTGAGGCAATAGATATGTTAATTAGCCTGAAATAATTATGCCGAGAGTACATTTTAAGTATTCTCACTACAGAAATGATATATGAGGTAATGCATATGTTAATTAGCTTAATTTAGCCATTCCACATGTATGCATATTTCAAAACGTTACCTTCTACCCATAAATTTATACATTTTTATTTGTCAATTAATAAATATAAATTGTAAAATCCATACTTTTCACTTACTGATTTAAACTGCACAATAGCTATCATTTATTAAAGGATTTATCTGTGCTCTACTTCTTATTTTAATTCTTACAGTAACTACAAGTAGGCACCTGTTTGACAGAAAATGCATCTGAGACTTAGATGGTGTAAGTCATTCACCTAAAAAGTGACGAAGCTGAGGTCAGAGCCCTGACCTGTCAGTATCTGGAGGTTCAGCTCTCAACAGCTATGCAGGGTCTTCTCTGGAGGAGAGAGGCCCCCTTCCTGCTGGCAGCAGTTCTGGCCCGCTGCTACAGCAAAACACAATTGCAAAACACAACTGCCTTACACATCTCTTCTTATCCTTCCAGCCGCTTAGGCAGGCACGTTCAACAGGGTTAGATGCCTCCTTACAGGCCGCCTCCCCAGATAGGAGTCCTTCTGAAGGTACATGAGGCCTTCACACCATGTCTTACCTGAGTTTCTATTCTCTGTGAAATAAATGGTTTTATTTATAGTCCTCACCAATGAAGACACCAAATCTTAAGGTCTTCTTGTTCTTTTAAATATGATTAATGAGAGTGACTGTCTCTTTCCTCTTTCCTCTTTCCTGTGCCCTCAAGGTGGGCAGGCTCTAGAATGAGACTTTCCAAAGCTGGAAGGCTTACCTGTCAACTCAGGGACCAGAGGAAGCAGCACGCTGGCCTTAGTCAAAACCGATTCCTGAAAACCCAGAGCCAGGTCCTTGGGACAGTGCTCCAGCAAGAGCACAGCCAGAGAGGCAGCTCCTGTCTGTGCAGAGTTTTGAAGCCTAGGAGCAGGGTGTGGGGTAGGGGAGTGTATCTGACTGGCTTAAAAGATGGAAGTGGGTGGATACCAGAGGGAGGACTTGGACCTGCCAGGTTTATTCTGCTTCCCCTGGGTGCTGATGTCCTCCCCAGCAGTAAATCCAGTCCTGGTTTAACAGGGACCTACAGTCATTCTGTCATGACAGAACTAGGCCAAGAGCAATTCTGGTAATTGGCCCAGGCAAGAGGGCTGGTGCAGGGAGGATTTGGAGGTGTTCTTGGTAGAGCCCACTTGAGCAGGTGCATCATCGTCACAAACACGTCTACAGGTGCACCTCTGTTTCATCCTGTCTCCTGTTTGAGGGGGAGCCTGAGTGTGCTGGGACCCAGCATCAGAGTGCCTCATCCACCTGTTTCTCTCTATCCCTCCCTGTGGTTTCTCTCCACTACACATATTTGACAATTTGACCTAATATCTGTGTGTACCCTCTTTTTTTTTTTTTTTTTGGTTTGATCAATTTTAGCATTTTTCCATTTTAACAAATTCAAAGGGCTTAGAACAGCACCTGAGATCCTCCACATTTCTGGTATTTCTAGTTGATGTTAAGCCAATATAACTAAGAGTCTTCAGCACCTTGTTTTGCCTTGAAAAAAAGTATTATTCACCCAATCAATCCAGATACCATGTGCATTTCAGGCTTCCTTCACCTTGCTTCTGAACTTAAAGGGGCGCACCTGGAGTTCTTGCATATGATATTTGCTGTAAGAATTTGGTTGAGACTCTTTAGTAGGTAAATTTAATACAACCAGAACCAAAAATCTAAATGTAAAAGACAGTAAAACTTTAAAACTGTTAAGACATAATACAGGAAAATATCTTTATTTGTTAGAATTTACTAAACAAAATATAAAATCCACATGTAATAAAGGAAAAGATATATATTCTCCTATATTAAACAGTTGTGATAGTCAAAAAAGCAGATATGTTTAGAACATATGTAACTCAGTACCTATAATACATGAAGAAATTCTAGAAACAAGTAAAATAATGAAAAGAATCAAGCAATTCATAGAAAAAAAAACACCTGATGTCCAAATAACATATGCAAAAATGTTCAATTTCATTAGTAATCAAGGAAATGGAACTCTTAAAATGTGAAACTATTTTGCATTTCTTAATTGGCAAAATTGAAATGTTCACATAATTGTCAAATATTGATGAGAATCTGGGGAAACAGAGACTTCCATAACCTATTTTAAGTCAAGGT